CACATCCATTTTTTAACCAAGGGGATTACCAAATTCTGAATTCATATTGCCATGAGTGCTTCAGAAACAGCCCTGCAAATTCTGTCTGGAACATTTGCACCTCAGTTCCACACAAATTTGAGGTCGAATTTTTCTTCTATATGTTGCATCAAAAGTAGAAAGGATAGACATGATGGGAATTACATTCAAAACCGTGTAACGAGAAATTTAGATGGTCTTTTTAAAGGAGAGAAGAAAAATTCCAGGTCGGAGTCCTTGCGATGCAAATGCAGCCAGCCTGAAAATAATAGGGAGGCTTTTCTAGAAGATGGAAGTGGGAGATTGGTGAATGGTCTGGCCAATGAATTTAATTTTCAAAATGTTGAGTTGGGGCAGCCTTTGAAAAATGAAAATGGAACTCTGTTATCAAATGATGGATTGACAGCTCCTACATCAAATATATTTGGGGCAAATTCTATTGAGGATGAAGCATGGACTTTGTTGCGTGCATCCATGGTCTATTATTGTGGCAATCCAGTTGGCACCATTGCTGCCAATGATTCAAGTAACTCAAATACACTCAACTATGATCAAGTGTTTATCCGTGATTTCATACCCTCTGGGATTGCTTTCCTATTAAAAGGAGACTACGAAATCGTTCGGAACTTCATCCTTCACACTCTTCAGTTGCAGGTATTCATACATATTTGTATCAGTTGTGTGGTTTGTTAAAATTTAGGTACATATTCTGTATGGAATATTTTTGTCTAAATTATTAAATTGAACTTAAAGCAAGTAAATAATTCCTTAGGGGCTACATTGTTGTGCCATTTTATATCTGGGTAACAAGTTATAACTTGATTTCGATCTTTAAGAACCATCTTTTCAGATAACATGTACTCACAGTGATTGTTTTCTTGTCTATCACTGTCCATTTTAACATGTATTACTAGCATCATTACATGATGCGCTATGGCTGATACCGTTTCAACATGTCAGGGCAATTTTCTTTTAGTTTCCCTGCTGATATACTTTTATACGTAGTTTCTTTATATATACCTCTGTAGTTAGTGCACAGCTGTTGAATCAGGTTAACTTCATACTTAACAGTAGCAAACACATAAATTTATATATATATTTTTTTCTTTTAGCTTCTAGAAGAATAATGTCTAAGAAATTAAGCATTTAGCATCCATCTTTTCCCCAACCCTTCTGCAAGTTATGGTTAATAATAAATGAGAAATTGAATTGAAAATAATTTTTGACTCCCATTACGTAGATGACATGAAAGATTTTGCAGGGTAATGACTTATAAAATTGTCTGTAGTTCCAATTTATATTTACTATCTATTTGTTAAACCTCTTTCATGGTCTCACCAGAGCTGGGAGAAAACCATGGATTGCCATAGTCCTGGACAAGGACTGATGCCAGCAAGCTTCAAAGTGCGTACAGTTCCACTTGATGGTGATGAGGATGCAACTGAAGAGGTCTTAGATCCTGACTTTGGTGAGGCAGCAATTGGTCGGGTGGCACCAGTTGACTCTGGTTAGTTGATGATTTGTTGATCTGCGCATTGTGAGTATTTTTAACATATATAACATCATGAGTTTGTTTCTCAGGTTTGTGGTGGATCATATTATTACGGGCATATGGAAAATGCTCTGGAGACACTTCAGTTCAGGAAAGAATTGATGTGCAAACTGGAATCAAGATGATATTAAAGCTTTGTTTGGCAGATGGTTTTGACATGTTTCCAACGCTGTTAGTGACAGATGGTTCGTGCATGATAGATCGTCGCATGGGTATTCATGGCCACCCTCTGGAAATTCAGGTTTTCCTCTTTTCTCTTCTCTTGAAGAATGAGTCATTAATAGACCTTTCGTATTCTCTTATCTAGCTCATTCCTCTCCCCATTCCTTTCCCTCCTATCTGCATGCCCCCGCCTGATTATGTGCTGTTTGGTTCAGGGAAGAGTTCTATTTTCATTCTTACTCCCATTCTGTAATCTGAAGTTACAGTTTTGATTGTCTTATTATGGAAAATGATCATCATATTTTTGGAAGATGTTTCTTTACTTTGATGTGCTGACCTAGGCCTTTTTTATTTTTTGAGTTGCTTTCTGTTTCCAATAACGTTAAGCCACCATTGTCTTAGCTTTGGCAATTACTGTGGCATTAACTTATCCGTCGGGCAAAATTGGAAGTGCAATCTATAGTATGAGATGAAGGGAAGAATGAAGTTCCTATTTTTTAGTGGCATTAATTTTTATATCAAACAAGCATTGAGGATAATGTTTATTGACAGTCATTGGTGCAGTTGTCACTATCGCTGCTTTGAAGCTTGTCTGCCCATATTAAGTCAATATCTTATTATTGTGCACATGCGTTTTTGTCAAAACTTACACAAGTTGAAAATATCATTATTCTGCAAAGCTATTAGAGTCTACTTGGAATGGAATTTGCTGCTACCTTAGCATTGTTCAAGTGTTGTCTAAAAGCAGGGTTCTGTGAAGACTTGTTGAGTGTGTTTATTACTTTCAACAGGACAAAATGCTCCTCCAGCAGGTGTTTATATTTTTGACCCAGGGGGCCAAATGCTAAAATATCTTGATCCTCCTTGGTAGATGTTCATCCTGATGTTAACTTGTTGATGTCAAAGGAAAAAAAATTCCATTAAGCTTATCATGTGTTTCTGTTTAATTTGTTGAATATCCGACTGATTAAACGTTCAGTATCTTCCACTAAGTAGTGAATGAAATAAGTTGAAATCATTGGGCTGTGAAACTTACCCACCTAAACTCTGTATTTATTTTACTAATATTTTTCCTAATCCATGTAAAGAAATAGAGTCATATACATGTTTTTTTTGCTACAGTGATTTTCAAAAAGATTTACTATAGCATAATTTTGACTGTATTGGCAGGCATTATTTTATTCAGCTCTACTTTGTGCCCGTGAGATGCTTACTCCAGAGGAGGCATCGGCCGACCTTTTCAGGGCACTTAACAATCGTCTAGTAGCCATGTCATTCCACATCAGGGAGTACTATTGGATTGATACGAAGAAATTAAATGAAATCTATCGTTACAAGACGGAGGAGTACTCCTTTGATGCAGTTAACAAGTTCAACATTTATCCAGATCAGATTCCTCCCTGGCTTGTGGAGTGGATGCCCCACAGAGGAGGCTATCTTATTGGAAACCTACAACCAGCTCATATGGACTTCCGTTTTTTTTCACTTGGAAACCTTTGGGCTATAATAAGCAGTCTTGCAACCACAGATCAGTCACACGCAATACTAGATTTTATTGAAGCCAAATGGTCAGATCTAGTGGGTGGCATGCCACTGAAGATTTGTTACCCTGCTCTCGAGGGCGAGGAGTGGCGAATTATTACAGGCAGTGATCCAAAGAACACGTAATGTTTCTATATTAATGTTGTGGTGTTTTTTCATCCATTTTTCTTATTGATGCATAAATATTGCTTTTGTATGCAGTCCTTGGTCTTACCACAATGGAGGTTCCTGGCCAACTTTGCTATGGCAGGTTGGGTTCGTTTATTCATTTCCATTGTATTGCTACTGTTTTATGTGCTTATAATTTTTCAGTAAAGCAATCCTTAAGCAACACTCCCTCCAGTTGGAATTAAATATCTTGGTTATAATGTGTGACACAATAATTTAGTTGAGTTGAAAATGGATGGTTGGTTATGATACCAGTTCAAATTCATGATAATGCAGAAAATATTAGTTCAGCGAAAATAAGCCCTTAGTTTTAAAGTACACATGATTGTCTTGCTTTTATGTGTCCTGTCCCATTTCTCCTTAAATTTGAATCCTGCAGTCATTGTCATATGTATTATTCATTTATATAGTGTATTTCAAGATTGTACGTTTCAATGCCAATTTTTGTGTTCAGATAAGAACAACTTCTTTGTATGCTCCCGTGATTGGATAGTTTAATCTGTGGAGAAATTTAATGGGAAGATAGTTTAATCTAACCATTATGCTGCCATGGTAATTGACAATGTCAACTCATTGATTTACAAAAAAGTAACTAAGTTTCAGAATAATAAAGCTAAAGCTATTGTGATGGCTGATATGGTTTTACTATTGTGATTTTCAATTGATACCATCTCATCATTGTAGAATCATTGGTACTTATTTTCTTCTAATGTATAAATATGTGCAATGTTCAGCTGACTGTGGCATGCATAAAGATGAAGAGACCAGAGATTGCTGAAAAAGCAATCAAGGTTGCCGAGAGACGTATAGCTACAGACAAGTGGCCTGAATATTATGACACCAAAGGAGCGAGATTCATTGGGAAACAGGCACGACTCTTTCAGACTTGGTCAATTGCAGGATATCTAGTGGCAAAACTGCTCATCGACAACCCTAATGCAGCTAACATGTTAGTTAATGTTGAGGATGCAGAGCTTGTGAATGCCTTTTCTTACGCTCGAACTGCTAATCCAAGGAGAAAGCGTTTGCGCAAAGGGCCAAAACAGTCTTTCATTATATGAATTCATGCTGCTGATTTGAAATTCGTGGGGAAAATGTCAGATCAGAAGTCGGACACACCTACTGCCATGAAGTGGGTTTTGTGACTGTAGAACTGGGAGAAAAGAATGAAGTCAATTTGGGGAATATATGCAGAACTACACTCTTGTAATATAGTTTGGCATCACCATATAGTTCGGTTATAGTTACAGATACCTTTTCCCTGTTTTTTCATCTCTAAACTGGTATGCAATTTGAGTAGTATTTCAAATTGTACAAGTTTTGTGATACTATCGTAGAGTATATAGGTAATTTTAAGAAGATAATTTGGTATTGAAGTGAATTTGTGTTCATGTGTATCATCATAAGCACAGTTCGGCAGTCGCAGTAGCAGTTGGCTTATCGACTGTTCTTGTATCAGAGACTTTCACCATTGTTAACAATATTTTCTTGCGTATTGGTATTTAGTATCCAGTTTGTGTAATTTATTCAAGCGCTAATTTGAATGTTCTGAGTTGTAAAATCAGATTAACAAGCTGATTGCGTTGTTATTATAGCGTTTGTTGGAGTTTGTCATAGACTCGTACCTGTTAATTATAAATATACAACACTTGAGTCGAGGAACACGAGGTCGAATTTGTGATATTATTAGGCATATTTCAGATCAATATGCTGAAGACCACATGTTGAACCACTTGACCTTATAACAAGGAAAATGAGTTAAATTTTGTACAAATTATTCTAACCTTTTGTTAAAGCTAATAACATGATCTGAAGTCCCTTTTGGTCTAAAGATAATTTTCTTAGCTGTCTTAATTTCATTCAAACATTCAGAGGATGATAATGCTGGGTAAGAGAAACTACTGATCCGATTATGATAATAAAATAATCTAAATTTGTTCTTCAAATAGTAAAATTAGTTCCTGTTTCTTGAGTTTTCTATTTTACAACAAAGATGAGTACTTGAACCATTCTTATGGTTCACTCAAATCAGCAAAACACAGTCTATACCCGTGGACATGCCGAAGCTGAAAGGATAATTTATGCCAATTATCTTTTATCTTCTATTTTGCAACAATATATTCAATTGTTTGCACGCTCCCAGATTTTTGAATACATGTACACTAATACTATATGCCATATATTTATATATCTGTTACAACAAGGATATGAGAAAGCTCAGGAGGACAAATCTAACCTATATTTCTCTCAACAAAGGCTTTTGCTAGAACATCTCAAATTCTATACCATCTCCAGTATCTTCGTATTCCGTTTGGCATTTGTTACTTTTATTTTGAGAGATCATGTCCGGGATAAGGTTTCCCAAATCAAAGACTCTAGGGAGCTCAGGAGGTGTTTCACATCGTATCAAAGCCCAGTTCAGGCCGTCAAAGAATGGATGTCGCTTAATCTCCGCTGCTCCCTTCTCATAACCCAATCTATTCTCTGGCTCCTTCTTTAACAACCTTCTGATTAAATCTCGAGCATGAGAACTGACCATAGGGCTTCCAGGGAATTTGAGGCATTGGGATACCACATTTGATAGAGTATCCTCGTTGGTTGATCCTTTGAAGGGCGTCTTACCATATAAAATCTCGTAAACAAAAATTCCAAAGGTCCACCAATCAACAGCACTACCATGACCTTCCCCTTTGATGATCTCTGGAGCCAGGTATTCATGAGTTCCTACAAAGGAGTTGGACCGCGCACTGGTAGGTTCCACTACAAGCTGTGGTAGCGGGATGACCTGGGCAGCTAGTTCAGATTTTAGTTTACGGGTTTTTGCTGCAGCAGATAGAAACCCAGGCGTGAAACAGGAGACTTGCCAGGACGGATGGAGGCAGAAAGGCTCTATGCAGCTAGAATCTGAGCACGGACTAGACATCTTTTTTGGAGGCTCAACAACAGGTGAAGACGACTTGAGTAATGTAGGATTTACGGCACATCTAAGAGACAAATCGAAATCTGAAAGCATGATGTGCCCATCTTCTCTGATCATAATGTTTTCAGGCTTCAGGTCTCGGTATACAACTCCAAGCATGTGAAGGTACTCTAACGCAAGAAGAACTTCCGCAATATAAAACCTGTGCATATTTAGCATTGCAAGAGACCAGACACATGGTAAGCACATAGCTTCGTTGCCAAAGAAGACAATCATTATTAAACACCTTGCCTATGTCACAAAGAATGCAGCAAATGAGTAATCTCAGAAGTCTGTTGCAAGTACACCGAATGTGATCAACAGATGAAAATAAGAACGTCCAGCAAGGAAACATATAATGCACCTTTTGTGATCTACAAACTTTTAATTCAATGCTATTGACATGATATTATGTTAGTCTGGGATCTTGAATTAACGGGGTATAAGAATGTAATTTCGACTTTGGGAAGTTCGCAATTGCACCAAGTTCAAGTGTTTGACATTTAAAAATGCTGCATGGGGATGATAAACAAGACTGGATTCTCTGGAAATTGTCAGAACTCCCCATCAAATGTTTAACTGCAAACTTGAGTTTGAATGGCCACATATCTTTACCTGCTTAGGTGTAATCCTGTTGGGGCCCTCCAAGAACATTTACTAGCATATTTCTACTGAACCAATAAAATATCTTGTAATAATATCACACAGTGTTAACGACTCCAGTACTGTTAGGATGACAGAATGGGATTCAAAGAAATCAAATGCAATATGCATGGGGAGATTTGGTGCACTCTGGATTGTGAATATGGTGAATAAGTTGAGGGTGGCTGATAAGTCGAAGGACTTCGTTGCGAAGTTTAATGAGTATTCCTGAGCTTCTTTGGCACAATGCTGTGCGAACAATCATGATAGGTATTTGATGATAGCACAATATGGGGAGAGATGTCCAAAAGGAGTGGTGATGATGCCAAAAGGGGTGAACGGAGAGGGCTGGGCATCGGTTTCTCATGTGTTTCAGACAGTCGATTATTTTGTCACCGGAGATAAGGTTAAGCATCGAACAATTGAAGCAAGGAGCCAGCAAGGGATGACTTTCACAGAACGCTAATCAGCAAGTACTATGGCATAAGGAAAGGACGGTTAACGAGAGGAGTGATACACACGAGCATAAAGGGCGGTTAACGAGAGGAGTGATACACACGAGCATATCTCGGAATCTAGTAAGGACAACTAACGGTGCATAAATCTAAGGTAACAACAACAGAGGGTATACCTAATAGTCTTTTGAATAGAGATGGAAAAAGGGAGCGCATCAAAGGTTTGAGAGGGGAATTGGATGAATTAATCAGGTTAATGGATAGTGGAATTGTATAAGGCACCAGGAAGACTTATTGTCATAAGTGTGGGGTGGACTTGGATAAGTGTCCAGTCAATGGAATAAATGTAGCAATCTTGGCCTCTAAGGAGATGACATCGAACTGGACTCAGAGTAAAGAGGTGCTAGTTAAGCCAAGTGGTGAGCCCCAGGTGCTAACTAAAGTAGTGTAGGTGGAACCTTGGGTTAAGGTAGAGAGCCAGAATGTTGAATCTGGAGTCGAAGATTCTCGATGCGACCAAAGACAATTGCTCCACGTTTGAGGGTGCGGTGGACACGAATCCAATAGAAGGGTTAGTGTTGGCAACGGAGCAAGAGATCGGAATTGTATTGGCAAATAGTCCAGCTTCGATTATTGAAAAACAGCAAGGGACAACAGACTCGACAAATATGGAAGTGATCACATACACGAGGAGATATTCAAAGTCTACAAATTTTGGGAATCTAGGGAATGATAGAGCTTTGGTGGTGTAGGTTGATGGCGCCGAAAAGGGGGATATAGTACAGGTAAGGGAAAATGAGGGACACTAATATGATCATCCTTACGATAAGGAGAGAAAAGGGCAATGCGCTTGACATTAGACCCCCATTGTCAAATTGATTTATCCAAAAAATTGTGGAATTCAGCAAGATAGTAGGTGTGTCCTGGAAGGGTATGAAAATGGGCTCTTGCAATTATTTGAGGAACTAGAGGCTAGTAGGGGAAAGGGGATGGGTACATCAAGAGGTAAGCCAAAAAGAAAGGGAGACCGTGAGCTTAAGCGGCTCGAATGCTCGATTAATTATGACTTCAAAGGAGGCGAGTCAAGGAGAGATTAATAGGAAGGAGAAATAGAGTGTTAAGATGATCCCAAAAATTATTAGTTGGAATGTTATAGAGCTTAATAAAGCAGGAAAAAGGTTGTATATTCAAAATCTGATAAGGGGATGGAAGGCTAACCTTGTGTGCTTAAAAAAAACAAAGTTAGAGGTGGTTTCAAGGGATGTCGTGAATAGTCTATGGGGGGTAGCATGTCGGGCATCAATTTTTAGGGTCATCGAGGGCTTCAGGAGGTGTGCTAGTCATGTGGAGACACTGAAGTTTTGGATATGGAGGAGGCTAGTGAAGGGCAATTTTCTCTATCCCTTTTGGTTAGAAATATTGGGGATGGATTTTGATGGATGTTTATAGGAGTTTATAGGCCTAATATTAAAGGTTGAACCCCCAACCTTAAGGGACCCCACCGCCCCATCTCTAGAGCATCATGAGAGAGGTTAATCGCGAGATGTGCCCCAACAAGCCAGAGAACAAGAGTTGCCTATATACCGGTGCCCACAAAGAATCCAAATTCATGTTTTAGGAATCGAACCCTCACACTGCAGCTACCAGCAAGGCTGAGTATACCTCACCCTTGTCCTTTGCACCACTGGGAGTAGAGGTGGATTGTGGGATGAGCTGGCTGGTATGATGGCTTGATGGAACCTTCCAACATGTATTGGAGGAGATTTTAATGTGGTTTAGTTTCCTACTGAGAGATCTAGTGGTGGGAGAGTAACAAGGGTTATGGAAGACTTCTCAAATTTTATTAGGGAGAACATGTTACTGGTCCTACCTATGATTTGAGAAAATTTTACTTGGTTATCTAATCGAGATCAATCTGTCTTGTCCTCAATAGATCAATTTCTCATATGTGGGGAGTGGGAGGCTAAGTACCCCAAAGGTCACTCAAAGGAGTTTGGGAAGAGTGTATTTAGGTTATTTCCCTATTTTGTTATTTGCAATTGTGATGTGCCCTAGAAGAAGACCTTTTAGATTTGAGAAGATGTGACCAAAAATAAAAGGATTTGTGGAGCGTGTATGGACGTACTGGGAATCATATGACTTTAGGGGGTCTCTCGGTTACGTGCTGGATTGAAAATTGAAGGCCTTGAAAAGGGATTTGAAAAGGTGGAATGAGAAGGAGGTGGGAGATGTTAACTATCGTAAGAGTCAATGCCTATCAGATATAGAAGGGCTGGATAGAAAGGAAGAGAGTCGAGGATTGGTAGGGGATGAAAGGGAAAGACGTGGAAAATTAAGAGGAGAGTTAGAGAAGTTGATGGAGATGGAGGAAATTGCTTAGCGTAAAAAATCTAGGGTCAAGTGGTTGAAAGAGGGAGACAAATGCACTCAGTTTTTCCACAGGGTCGCTAATTCTAATAGGCAAAA